GTGCGGGCAGGGCGGGCGGGCAGCGCCGCGTTTCTCAGGCTGCTGTTCTGCCTGCGGTGCTGAAGTGGGTTATTTTTTTTTCCCCAGCTCTCCTCCTGCCCCCAAGATTTGGGATGAGGGAGCTAAAACCCACCTGCTCCGTGATCCCACCGCCACACCTCTGCCAGGCTGGCAATGTGCAGGGGGCTCTCGGGGTTTTTCTCCGGGCAAGGCAGCAGCGCACAGTTCCCGCGAGAGCACCCCAAATTCTGCACCCAAATCGGTAGCATCACGTCAGTATTGGTGGTCTAGTGCGAGGTCCGAGGGATTAGCTTGTAGGGGAGGGATGGATTTGCTGTTAAAAACCAAAGGAGGAAGAGCGTGCTGCATTCGTTCATTCCTTATGGTTGGAAATTACAACCCCTTGGCAGATTAAAGCATGACCCAGAGATGCAATAAATTCGAAGTTTGGAATTTAATTTCTTCAGTGTCCCACCGAGTTTTCTTGAAGAAAGTCATATAATCGACCTTTTTACCATCTGTGGGGTTGACGCTGGTGCCCGTCACAGGAACTGTCAGCCCTGGGAGGGGACTGGAGCCGCCCGGTCAGGCAGCACAGGCATCCTGGCAGTGATGGCAGATAATCCCCCTTCGCTCTCCCCTTCATGTTTTTGGAGCTGAAGTACCTGTGCTCTACCCCACTCGTTTCTGAGTGCCCGTGCAATGAGCTGTGTATGTAACAGAGCAGTGTTTCAGATACCTCTACTGTCATTTTTCAAATTTCTCAGGAGTTTCATAGAAATGATTAATGATTTTAGCTGGAAAGAGTTAATCGAGTGAGGAAAAACTCATCCTCCTTTCCTTCCTTCCTTCCTTCTTCTCAGTCTTCCCTCTACCCATGGTACACCTCATCTTTGTTTATCCTTTCTCGTCCCATTTGGGGGGGATTTCTACCCCTGGGTTCCTCTCTGCCATTTTATCCAGGTTGTCCCACTGCCGTGGAGTCTAGCTCCAGTGTGCCTTCCTTTCCGTCTCCCTGGGCCTTATTTCCCTACCTCACTAACCCTTTTTTCATTCCATATTCCCTTCCTCAGATCATCCTTAAAGGAGAAAGAGGCCGGAGCTGGGATATAAAGTAGTCTTCTAGGAGTACTGCCAGAACTGATTTGTTTTACTCTGCTGCTGCTGCTGCTGTTGCTGTTCTGCTGTGTCATGGGAAGAGAGTTACCCAGCCACACCAACCCTCGGAAACGGCACCTCAGGCAGAGCCGCGCGCTGCAAACCTGAGCCGTGTTTTACAAAGCTGAAGGGTAAGTTTGTCTGGCGCAGGATTTAGGCTGGAAGGAGAAGGCATCGCTCGCTTTCTGGGCTCTGACGGGGAGATCGGTACACGATGTTGGGAGCTTTGCAGGAGGCAGAGTGGTGGCAGCAGCAGCAACAGCGCATCATCACAGTTTTATTTCATTTTGTCAAGCCAAGACGCTTTAGGTTACAGCTGAGCAGAAAAGCAAAATGATGCATTTCTGTAAAAAGAGTGCTGTTTCCTGAATTTGCTTTAAATTCATGCAAGGAAGTCTTGCACTAAGCAAGAGCAGAGATTCTGCCTCCTCTTAAAAAATTCTGTTAGTTATAAAATCTTTACGATCTTGGCTCCTTCCATCTGAGCCTGTTTCCTTCAAAAACTTACTTTCAAAAATGCGAGGTTTAAAGATGACTCCTCTCTCTCGCTCTCCCCTCCCAAGTTTCTGTTCCTTGGAAAGGCCTGAAGAAGCCTAAGGCTGTGTCTGCCTGTGAATGGAAAAGGTTGGACTAAACACCGGCGTGTGCATACACGTGCATACACACGCGCAGGCACAGGATTTAAAGCATCCCATCGAAGTGCACATATAGGAAAATCCTTCATCATGTGATAGGCTTTAATATCTGCCTTAAAATTAATCCCTAACTGATGGACTCCGTGTTGTGGCAGATCACAAGAGGCTCAATAGCTGAGGTTCCTGTGCAGGTTTTTAAAACTGCCAAATAAAATCCCCCGTTTGCTGTTGGATTAATTTGTGTTTTCACAGCCGTTACCTGGGAAATGCTCATCTTGTGAAAGCAAGTAAGAAAACTTTTATCGGGCTCGAGTCCTGTTTTTCCTCAATAAAAATAAAAGACCCTTGTCATGGGGTCAGGACAAGGTCCAATACTATTCCACAAGGAAATGGTTAAAGGGCCCAGAGTTCGTCAGTTCCTCTGCTAAGAGATAACAGTCCAGGGTTTTATTAGATCTTGAGCTTTGGAGATGGTCCTGCTTATTCGTCAACGTGGTCTTTACTTCTTTTGTGTTCATTTTTGTCCCTGAAACTGAATCTTCTCGTTTCACTTCTCTTTCTAATTTGTTTCACTCTTTAGTTCCCATGTGTTAGAAAGTGCAGTTTCATTTAGACTCCCGACAGAAGAGAAGAAAGCCCGGTTCCAGAAAGCAATTTGCACTAATATATTTTCTTTGCCACTCACATGAAAACATTACTGCTAAAACAGATCTAGGTATAAACAGTGCTGACAGGCCCTGAAAAACAAAACCAAATTGTGAAACTGAGGCAAATAGCCCAGAGAACCTGAAATGTTCTGGTTTCTAAAACACTGGCTGCTGTCAAAAAGAGGGTAAAATAAAGCTTTGTTTACATGTAGAGCGGAGTGTTTGTTGATTGAGTTTCTAAGGTGATGTAGCAGGAAATACTGATCTTAGGAAAAATGACATGAACAAAACATGAAACTATAATGCAGCAATTTGTCAACTGATAATAGAAAAAAAGGATATTTAAAAAACAATGAGAGGTTTTCATTGAACTTTTTCTCTCCCTTGCTGGCAAATACAAAGGCAGCCCCTCACCTGCTCTGCTCCTGCATATAACTATTTGCAAGAGCAGAGCTAAGTCATTTATCAGGAGGACTGTTTCTGTCGGATGCAAATACCTACACTAGCTGCTGTTTCTACGTCATGTCATGGATGAGATTGATGCTCGAGCAAGGTTATAATGTACCTGCGTTTTCTCCAGATTGGTGCCAAGCTTGCTGAGTCATTTTCCCTGTTCCCATTCTGCAGTCGGCTGCTCGCTCGCTTTTCCCTGTTATTTGTGTGGGTCGTAAGCTCAGCAACAGATGAGAATAAATGCTTGTGTTTCTTTAGGCTCTCTCCCTAAGGAAATAAAGGTTCTGCTGTGCTGCTTCTCTGTTCACATATGTGTCCATCCCCCTCTCCCAAAAGCTTCTGAACCCGTTAATGAATTTTGGATGAATTTGGGAGAAAGCAGATAATTCAAAGACAGTTATATTTCTTCAAGTTGCAAGGTGGGAGAGACCTGGATCAGAAATTGAAGAAGAACTCAGCCATAACACATCAGGGCTGGCAGCCACCTTCCAGCCACCCAGCCCATACGTACCTGCCGATTAATCTGTATGTAGCTACGCCGAGCCACAGCGCTGCCATATCCTGCCTAGTACAGTTTTCACTGTCAGGCAGGGGATATCATGGAAAACTGGAGGAACCACGATAGTTCAGGGAACAAGTTGTTTTCAAAGTGAAACAGTAGAGGAGTGTAAGGAATATCACCACATGTCAGTACCTGGGAATGCCTCCATGTAGCTGTGAGGAACAATCTAGCTTTTGTGTCACTCCCAAAGCAAACTGTGGCAGAGGAGCCAGCTCGGGCTGTTCTCAGAGCTAGCATGGCTTGTCGGTCTAGTGCTCTGTTGGTCTTGACACTAAAGCTACAGGCAAAGATCCCCCGTCAGCACCTCTCCCAAACACGGTCAGCAGATGCTGAGATGCCCACGTCCCTGGGTGGAGAGCAGTCTCAACAGCAGGCTCGAGCCTGCTGAGTGCTACAGCCCCACTCCCATCCACCTTCCTGGGGTAGTTGCGCTGTAGCTAGGGCTTATGCTTGAGAAGTGCCAAGCCTGGGGTGTCTCCTCACAGACCGAAAGGAAACATGCTGAGTTCCCACCTAGGCTGGAGCCCTCCCGGCTGCCTAACTGAGATGATGGCGTGGGAGAGCTCGAGCCCTGCATCTCCTCCTCAGGGCGTGCTGGGTTGCAAACCCAGGAGTGATGGTCAGGTCAGGACCGGAGGACAGGATCAGACCCGTTCCTGCCTGAGAGCAAAGGCTCAACTTGTATGTCCTTTCTCTACCAGCTGCTCCCTGCTCAGACCAGCCACTGCAGGATAGTTATCCCAACGCTACGCACAACAGACATTTTCATCTCAGTTGCAATTAGTTCGATGCAACAAACAGTTTCAGCGTGACAAACTGCAAGCTAAAAAAAGCTGTGCCTATATATGCATAATCTGGATGCACAAAATATGTATTGTGTGTCACCTCCCTTATGTCCCATATTTGTTCCTGCAGCAGTCCCAAATGGTGTATGCTCCAGCAATACCACATGGTCCAAATGGACTGGAAATACAGGAGTCATCTGGCACTGGTGCTCTTTGAAACTAAGGCGTTACTTGTTCTACCCTGAGATGCTGCATGTGGACCTCTTCTGGAAGGAAGCCTTTCACGTATACGTTAAGGTTCATTAACCTCTGATGATTAATCTATAAAATCGGAGCCAGCCTCTCTCTCAAGGAGCATGTTATTATCTCTGTTACAACTGCTAGACACCAACTGAGATCAGGGGCCTCATTTTCCTGGACACTACATAGTCCTACCCTAGGAGATAACCTCTGCCTCTAAGGGCTTACAACGCAAAAAGACAAAGGAGTGAGCAATATAACTCTTAGGCAGAGCAAACATGGTGACCTTTTGCAAATGTCAAGTTAATACCATGATCTGGAAGTGGAAGGGGTTTATCTGAGGGCGGATGGGTCAGCAGGGATGGAATACACTCGAGGATGAGATGAAGGAAAAGCCATAGCAGAAGCTGCATGGTATGAGATGGAGGGGAAGTGCACGCGGAAGATTATGTAGTCAGTCAGCACATCCAGGATAAAAAACTGGAGGGAAAAAAGAGCCTGATGACCCTGCCCACAGCTCACAGTACAACCAGCTCCTACCTGTAGCCTCTTCCCCAAAGCCACACAGCCTAGAGAGGGGAGATGGAGAAGGTAGGGGGTGGACGGCATGGTTCCTCCTATGTGCTGGTTCTGCACAGGCGGCTGGAGGTGTGATAACCCTCTCTTGGGGGTTGTTTATCTCTGCAGCTCGGCCTCCTGCAGCTGTGTTTGTTGCAGCTGAGCCTTGGGGCTGTAGTAAGATGTAGTTCAGTGCTCCAAGTCCAGGGCAGCACATAAATGAATATTAACAGGAACAGCTCCAGGAGCTACTGGGACTCAGGAAGTCACAATTCTGTCTCCACTGCTCCTTTGTCGTAGTGGGAGGTGATTGCTGGAGGCTTTAATGGATGTGAGACATAATATGCTTCCCTCACATTAGCTCCAGTTTGCAAACTGAGGCTTTAACCACATCCTACCCTGTGTGATCATTTCCTCATGCACCTTTTCAGCAACATGTGAAGTGTGCTAGCTACAGCCACCCCAGTGTCCCACAGGCAACCAAGCGGAGAGGTGCAGAGACAGTACAAACAATGATTTTACACCTCATTTCTCCAGTGAACGAAGGAGGTCTCACCTTTAAAGCTTAGCAAAATTTTCCAAATATAAATTACTGAACTCTTTGCCTCGGTTTCATCCTTCTGAGAAGAGAAATTATTTATTTTCTGATTGGGGATGCTATGAGGATCATACAAGATCCATAAAGTGATTTTTAAGTTGAAAACCTTTGGTAACATGCCTCTGGTAAATATTCAACGTAAAATACAGCAGCAGATTCATAGGTATACTGGTGACTCTCCATGATGCATGTCAAGACCATTTAGAGCTGCTCAGCACTTAGTCGCTCCCTCTCCAAAAGTATGGATGGACGTCATTCCCTCCCCAAAACCATGCAGCAGATCTATGTGGAGAAGTTCAGTCAGTCATGTTACTCACATGGAATAAAAAAAGTGTTTTACAAGAAGAAAGATGCCTACAGAAACCCATCCATGCCATCTGACCATTCAGAACTTGGTGCTAGTCTAAGAAGGGAGAAGGTGCACCTTCAGAGTCCCAGGAAGTTCCCAAAGACCTGAAGGGCTTTGCTGAGCAACAGTCAAAATCTTAAATCCCTTTTCTCCATTTTTTTCCTCTTCATTCTCACTTTAAAATTCACAATGTCTTTGACCTTGTGTACCATTTTCCTTCCGGTCCACCAGCCCTTGTTCATTGCATGGCCCCTTTATTTTCAAAAACAACCTTCCTCAATCTCCTTTTTTCATTAGTTGATATACAACAGAATGTACCATGAGACTGCTTCTAGTTTTGTTTGATTTCCCTTTCTTTATCTTTACCCAGAGACATCCAGCAGATTGTTTCATAATCTTCCTAGAGTTCAGAGAAAGTATATTCCTTTTAGATAGCCTGTGAACTCCCTCCTTTTTCCTCATCACCTGCCCTTCTTGAACAACAGTTCTGGCAAACTTTATCCGTGTATTATTCCTTATTCAGAGTTCCTTCCTAGGGAAAAGAGAGAAACCCTCCATTTCCCTGCCCCACTTCATCTGGTTTTGCACAACTGCTTTGCATGCTAGCACACTCACTAATTTTTCTAGCCCTTGGAATTGAGTACCACAGCATCACATTCATCCCCCGTCAACCACACGTTGTTTGTGGAGATCTGCAGAATAGGAAGCTCTTTATTCTGATTTTATAGAGCTACGTTGGTACATGAGAAAAGAAAATTGCTGGAGCCATGCAACACACAGGAGGAAGGATTGATTTTGTTATTGGTGGGGGAAAGCTCCATGCTTCATTTGGTATCACTGCCTTCCTCCTGTTGGTGGATAATTAATTAACAACAACAGCATGTTTGAAGCTACGCTGAAGTGCAAACACAAGATTTGCATTAATATTTTGCATTCTGGGCAGGCACGGGGAAGATGGACGCATTGACGTACCTAGAGAAGACAGTTGTGGGAAAGGAGAGCTGGAGAGAGACTGAGAATCCCCCATGGTGCCCTGAGCAGAATCCAACCATCCCTAAGAGAGTCTAATCCACTTCCAGAGAGGAAGACTTAGGAATTAATTCATAAATTTTAATTTTAATTCAAAGAAATTTGCTTTGAATTAGAAAGTGTTTGGGTTTGATTTGTGGGTTTTCCTTCTTTCCCAGATATCCAGTAACAACAATCTTTGCAGGAAGCCAAGTCCATTTAGTTCTGTTTTACCCAGACCAATTCCCAATATCCTTTTTGTAAGCCTCCTCTGTCTTAGAAAATAGTTTTCATCTTCTCATGCATTATTTTTGCTTCTGGAAAAAGCAACAAAAATTCTCCAAGTTTTCTGAATCATTTATAATCCTTGTTGCTTTCCTCTAGCCCCTCTACAATTTGTCTCAATTTTCTTCTACTTTCTCCTAGCATGGCATCCAAACCTACATCTGGTATTCCAACTGAGCCCTCATTAGAGTGGAGTAATTGGTTTTGATATTTCACCTTTTACACTATTGTTCATACGCCCCAGAATAAGATCTGACTTTTTCTGCAACAGCTGTGTGCTGTTCAGCATCTCGTTCATGGCTCTTTTTCCTTTGAATGGCTGCTTGACCAATGATTTGCCACTTTGCATTGACATGTTTTGTTGCTCATAACC